CAAAAGATGTGAACAGGGAGTATACCTTTAACTTTCTAATGATTAATACTTCCCTTACTTATGAAAGTCTTCTTTCTTTTCAGGATAAGGAGGTTCAAAGTACTTATTCAAGATTCATGACCTTTCATGAGGAACCTTTCATAGATCATTTCAAAAGGAAATGTCTTAAACAATTTGGTATTGAATGGATACATTTTGAAGTCAAATCAGTAACATTTGAATGGAAAGACACTAAGGAGAAGTTACCTTATGATTTGAGGACAAATCACCTAAAAAAAGGGGAGGATGATGTGATCATGTTTTGCACCAACTTTCTTCATGACACACTCACATCATTGAAGATTCATCATGCTCAATATAAGGGAGTTATACCTTACTTTATATTATATTTACTCATTTATGCACTATATTATTATGAGCATACATTTGCATCTTAAACTATGCTTGAATAATCATATATTATCATTCACTTGCAACTATATGATCTTCATGCATAACATATGTTTTCACATCTTTCTTAGCTTTATATTATGTTTACATATGTTTTAGATTCATTTATTATGTTTGCATTTCATTTAGATATCATGGCAGCATGTATTCATTCATTCATTAACTCATGTCATGTTATTCTAGCTCATTTTATGTTTACATTAGCTCACTAGCTTTAAATCCATGATTCTTTAGCTCATTTGCATGCATGCATCTATTTTCTAGCTCATATATGTTTTCTTAAAGCTCATAAACGTCCTATGCCTTTTATCTAGCTTATATACATGTTATCTTAGCTTCTAGATGATCATTCATAGCTTATATCACTCAAACACCTCACGACATCATGCATTTTACCTTAAATGAGCTCACACATTGCTTACTTGGTTTGTTTGTTAATTCCTATAGGTGAAACACAAAGCAAGGCATATTATGGTAGCTTGGTTAGCTAAAAGGATAAGCATAGCAGCTCACACTAGCTCTTGAATGTTATGGCAGCTCATTTCATCACTTAAGAAGCTTCAACTTAGCTGGAGGAGCTAGCATGTAGCTGAACTTAGTTGGAGGAGAGCTTTCGACCAAATTGTTGAAAAGTGGACTAAAGGTAGCTGGAAGTAGCTGGGAGAGTAGCTGAGGAGCTGAGAAGACCAAAGCTAACTAGCTTGAGTTCATCAAGCTATAACTCACCTAGTTAGCTACCAAGACACTCACCTAGCTTACCTTGAAGCTAGTTCATCTCTAGGCTATCCATGGACTTCAAGACATCATCCTATGGTTGCAACCTCACCAAAGCCTTGCAAGAAGACCCATGTGCATTCAAGTAGGCTGCCATGTGATCATTCAAGCATGTGCACTCCATGTGACATCAAATTGTGCCAAAACACCAAGGGATGCTTCCTATTCGGCCAAAGACTTCTTCCTCTCCATTTTGGCGCCCAAATAACTTCCAAATGCATTCAAATCATCCTTAGGGCCGAACCAACACATAACCATTCGGCCAAGAGCATGTATCTTCATTAAAATCATGTATTTTCAAAGGGGTTTCAACCTTGGCCGAACCATCATGTGTCTATTCGGCCTAAACCCTTTGAAAACTATAAATAGGCTAGTGCATTTCATTTGTAATCATCTCATCTCTAATATAAAATATACTCTTGTGAGTTATTTCTCTTCAAAGTTCTTTGTGAACTTTATCGATTAAGCAAGTATAATTCATATACTTGTGGCGTCATTCATTCCATCCTGATTCCAAAATTCCTAGATTGATATCTAGTGGGTTGAAGACACTATCACACCCTCAAACAAGTTTGTGAAGACGGGATTGTGCTCGTTAGCATTATTTCATCTTTGGCGAGTTTGAGATACAAATCAACACCATCTCCATTTCATCATTGCCACCATCAACAACATCCATCAATACCATCAATTCCACAGCCATCTCTATCCTATCTTTATTTCATTTCATTACTTATATTATTATTCCTTTATTTAAGTCCATTATTAATTATATTTTCTTATCTTATTTTGCAGCCCAAGCTTATAAATTCAAGGACATCAGTACTTGTCAATCCTAGATCGGGACACAATAAGGTTGTCTACTCTCTTCCATCAAAGCGTGTAGATTCGCCTTACATCACATGGGGAATCAAATAATAATTAAACCTAATGTAGGACAGTGACTAAAATAGAATATTCACAAATGTGGTGGCCAAATTATAGCATCAAAGAAAATATCCTACCATATAAATCAGTGACTAAAATGAAAGAATACAAGATCAACAACCAAAAAGGTAAACTGATAAAGAAATATAATATAAAGCAAATAAGACTAAAACAAAATACTAAACATATACAGAGCCCAAAATAATAAAAAAATGAAATTTCATTATAATAATCAAATTACAACCATTACAGAACAATGACCTAAAATATGATTTACCTATAAAAATAAAACACGGGTAATATATCAAAAGGGAAATGACTAACAAACAATTTTCCCTTTTTATCAAAACACGCTGATACCCCTTCCCCATATGCGACGCCGTTTTGAGTATAATATATATATATACGCCGCTTAAGCCAAAAAAGGCCCAATCCTCCCATTTTTCAGTTTTGCCCCAAACCAGAAAAGAGAGAAGGAGAGAGTTCTCCCAACGCTCTCATCGGGTAGTGGTCGCCGCATTCGACAGTGTTCACGACGAAGCACGGCGGTCGGAGAGAGCCAAACATACCAAAAGCATATCCTTCTTGCCCTTAACCCGAATCTCACATCCTCTCGCCCTAAAAGTGACCCAAACCCCTTAGATCTAGGTTATTACCTTTCGAAAGAACAAAATCCGACGACCTCTCGTCTTCCACGGCTTCAAGTAGAGGTAAGAATCAACTTTCTATTTCTCTTTTCTATTTAATTCGGTGTTTTGGGTTCTAATGGAGATGGAGGATGCTCTTTTTTTTGTTTAGGGTTTGAATCCCTCTATTTTTTTTCTCCTCTTTTTTCTTCCACCGAATGGTCTTTTATGGTTGCATGCCTCTTCTTTTTTTCTTACTTCCGGTGGGATAATCATTTAGGGTGGGTATGATTTGGTTGGAGTAGGTGAATCTCGTAATTTTTGGGGTAATATTTTTTCTTTTTGACTTTGGAGATGTTGTTGTTTGGATGGCAGATTTTGGTAATAACGATAGCGGCTCAGTTGATTGGCTCGATGGTTCTGCGTTGGTGGCGATGAGGGCAACTTGGCTTGAACAGCGGCTGGAGTTGGCGATGACGCAGAGCTAATAATATTTAGGGTTTTAAAACCCTAAATATTTAGGTCAGTTCGGGTCACCTCCGGGTCAGTCGGATCCGAGCCTGGATCTCCAATAAGGTCAACTTGTTGATGGGTTACTAAGTATTGGGCTGCTTCTTATTGGGCTTCCGGTTTTGGGTCTTGTAATTGGGCTTTAAAGCCTGCACAAATGTAATAATAATAATAATAATAATAATAATAATAATAATATATAATAATAAATAATAAGTTTTTAAAGCCCTGACAAAAACGGGTGTCTACAGAGGCAATATTCATTTATTGAGCACAATAGTTGATCTCCCGCGTTTATGCTAGGGGGTGAATGCTATCGGCTTTAATAAATGAATACCCTTTTCAACTTTGCATCCGTAATGATTTTCAAATTAAATAAAGATCGAACTCAAAATTCCTGATTTTAAATATAGGTTAATCAACTAGGTACAAATTTTTGGGCGCTTGTGGGGGTGCTAATCATTCCCCACACGTAAACTGATTCCCGAACTTGATTTCTGGATTTTCGTATACCTTAAAACTAGGTATTTTGATAAAAATAAAATGTTTTATTAAAATCACTCGATTTTTATGGTGTCCCGATCGCACCTTAAATGATTGGTGGCGACTCCTCACATTTCAAAAAATCTTTTCGAAAGAGAAAACCCTCGAGTCGGTATCGATCTTTCCCCGCCCGGGTGAAAAACAGTGTCGACATTTATAAAAAAATGATTATCAAATTGTTAAAGTATTTACCATATAAAAGTGTATAAAAAAAGTTAAAAATCAATCCATTTTAGTTTAAAATATGTCATGTATTAATATGAATAATTAACACCATTCTTAGTTGTCCTTGTTTACTTAATCGCTTGTGAAAAGTAAAGAGATTTAAAAAATATTTATACAAAAAATGTTTGCATTATAATAATTAGAGTGGAAAAAAAAGATATTGACAACTTTTATAAAGAAAGACTCTGCCCTAAGTCTTCTCTAATATTTTTCTTAAATCATTGGAGCCATGACTATTATAAAGAGAGAGATAATGGATCGTTAGGTTGCATCATTCACACATACTATACAATATATTGTTAATACCACTTGAGCCTCTTATTTCTGATTTGTTTCTTTTATTTTTCATTCATTTTTTATGTAAATTTCCCATTGTTTAAGTATTAAATGTTCAATGGAAGAGTCAAAAGAAGACATACACATTTGTTCGAAACATATGTCATCTTCTTGTCTAAAACATTTTCCATTAGCTGTCTGGTTTTAAATTTTTGTGAATCTTTGTTTGACACCATGGTGCTAAGGATGAGCCATAGCCATTAGACTCAAGTATTGGAATAGTATTGATTTGATCTTTATCTGAACCCGAATTTGGTATGTCATATTATTTTGAAAGAATACGGATTGATTTCAAAACAAAAGAACATTCCATAGAAAATGATAGGAAATTTCTTGGAGTGGTCATGATCTTTTAAATAAAAAAACGCGCAACTTATGACATTTGAGGCCAAAGGGCCCTGCTTTGCATTGATTTGCTTAAATCATGGAGACTACATGGAGGACTTGGCTTGCACCATTGAAAGCTTCTATGTCGTCTTCTGAGGCCAAAGGGCCTACTTTGCTGTACAAATTTACTAGTGGGAGAAATAAACACCACACCTTCCCTAGCTGGTGGGTCATGCACTCCAACTAAAAATCTATAATATAATAATGTATTATCAACACCTGCATTTCATCTCATCTCCTCTTGCAAACAACCCAACACTTTTGCCTTCATTTGTGTTTCAACCACCAATGGCCGAAGCAATTGCTTTCGACATTGCCGCGGGGCTCATTGCCAAATTGGGCTCCCGTGCTCTCTCTCAAATCGGACTGTGGTGGGATTTCAAAGATCATCTCGAAGATCTCAAACGCACCGTCACCAGAATCCAAGCTGTGCTGCTTGACGCGGAAGAGCGATCGGTGACCAGCAATGTTGTCAAAGTTTGGCTTCATGAGCTGAAAGATGCACTGTATGATGCGGAAGACTTGCTGGATGATGTCCATACTGAAGCCTTGCGGAAGGATCTGATGAGTGGGAACAAGCTGACCAAAGAGGTACGTGTTTTCTTCTCAAGCTCAAACCAGTTTGCTTATGGTCGCAAATTGGGTGGTAAAATCAAGGCCATTAAGGCCAGATTTACTTCCATTCAAAGTCAGACCAGTGAGTTAAAGTTGGTAGAGCGTGATCTTTCCGTGGAAACTCCTTTCACGGCCAAAAGGAGGCGGCATACGCACTCTTTTGTGGGTAAAGAAGAAATAATAGGGAGGGACGGTGATAAAGCAGCTCTTCTAAAACTCTTGCTAGAAAAAGAGTTCCATAGTGAAGAGAATGTTATCATGGTTCCAATCGTGGGGATTGGAGGCTTGGGAAAGACTGCGTTGGCGCAGTTTGTCTATAATCATGAAAGGGTTAGTGGTCATTTTGAGTTGAGGATGTGGGTTTGTGTTTCCAATGTTTTTGATGTAAAAACAATAGTAGCGAATATTATCAAATCCGTGACTAATCAAGCACCCAATCAAAATCTCGAGATCGATCAATTGCAAACACAGCTTCGAGATAAAATTGATGGGAAAAAATACTTGCTTGTTTTGGATGATATTTGGAACGAGGAGGGAGAACAATGGTTTAGCTTAAAGAAGTTACTGATGGGTGGGGCTAGAGGAAGTAGAATAATAGTAACTACTCGCTCTCATAGAGTAGCAAAGGTTACTAGTAAATGTCAACCCTATGTTTTGGAAGGTTTGTCTGATGATGACGCTTGGTCTTTGTTCAAACAAATAGCATTTGAGCAAAGAGATGCGGACTCAACAAATCCAGTCTTTTTGGAAATAGGAAAGCAGATTGTGAAAAAGTGTGGCGGAGTTCCCTTAGTCCTAAGGACTATAGCTAGTACGCTATCCATTAAGGAAACTGAAAGAGAGTGGCGTTCTTTCAAAGATAATGAACTTGCTAGGATATCTCAAAAAGATGGTGAAATTTTGCCTACACTCAAGCTGAGTTATGACCATCTTCCAGCCCATTTGAAGCATTGCTTTGCCTATTGCAGACTGTACCCAAAAGATTATATAATCCAAGTACAAACACTTGTTCAACTTTGGATTGCACAAGGTTTTGTAAAGCAATCAGAGCCGAATCAATCTCTCCAAGAGATTGGGTTGGATTATTTTAAAGAGTTAGCGGAAAGAAGTTTCTTTCAAGATATAGTAGAGTACAACGGCGCAGAAATGACATGTAAAATGCATGATTTAATGCATGATCTTGCTGAATCAGTAGCAGGGAGTGAGAGTAGAATTTTAGACTCAAATTCAAATACAAGCGAGGTTGATGAAATATATCGTCATATAACAATTGATTTTCAAATATTTCCTTCGTTCAAGGGAAAGAAGTTACGAACTTTGTTGTCCTTTCCTAAACAGAAAAATAGAAATAGGAGTGAGACGATTTGGAATTTAATAATTTCAAACTGTAGGTGTTTGCGTGTGTTAAAATTGGATGATTTAGATCTTGATATAGTTCCACGCTCCATTCATAAGTTGAAACATCTGAAGTACCTTGATCTCTCTTGGAATGGAGATCTTCAGATCCTCCCGAAGAGTATTTGCAAGTTACTAAATTTGCAAGTGCTGAAACTTGACCATTGTTGGGAGCTTCAAGAATTGCCAGAGAAGATTGAAAAATTGGTGAATCTTACCCATCTTTTATGTAGCAGTTGTTGGAGTTTAACTCATATGCCACGTGGAATAGGGAAGCTGACTTCGCTTCAGACGTTAAGCCGGTTTGTGGTGGATGAACGTGGTTCCGATGGTGCTGCTGCTGCTGCAGATCTAAGTGAATTGGGTGGACTTAACAATTTGAGGGGAAATCTAAGTATGAAAAATTTGGGATTGGTGAAAAATGCAAAAGAGGAGTTCAGGGCTGCTAATTTGAAAGAGAAGCAACATTTGGAATCATTGGATTTAGAATGGGGCGACACTACAGATGATGAAGAGAAGTCACTCGAAGACCTCCAGCCCCATCCTAATCTGAAGGTGCTCTATTTGGATGGATGGAGGGGCAATGCCAAGATTCCGAGCTGGCTTTCTTTGCTCACAAATTTGAAAGTCTTATCTATAGAACGAAGTCCCTATTTGGCGGAAAGATGTCAGAAGGACATTGGTGAGGATTGGCATAAGATTGCTCACATCCCACGCATTTGGGTGCATCGGGTGGGTGCATCCTACCCTTTTCATTTATCCACTTTTACAACAATATATCGTGTTTTCTATTCTCAACATGTTAATATTGCTTACTTGTTTTCTATCTGCAGAGATTGGTGCAAAACCTTGAGTAGGGCATTGGAGTGTTTCAAGTATATAAATATATGCAGAAAAAGAGGTAGTAATTACGTAATTGCTTTAGGCTTTTATATCGTATATAGAATCTCAGAATTGCAGTTGTCTGATAATGAATGCCCCTCTTTGTCAGCATGAGTTTCTTCAACAGCTGATCCATTCCACTTGATACCAAATAAATTTATTCCGGAAGGTAATCAATATCACCCAATTCTTTACTACCCGAGTTCAAAATAATCCAAAAACAAGTATCACTAATCATTTCGCCATTATTATCGCATTCTCTTTGCAGCAAAACTGACAAGGCTTTCTTATGATGTAACTAATGTGATGTGGACAGGACTAAGAAGCTTGCAATGCTTGTCTTGCGGATTGCTTATTTTCAACATGCTTCTACTCCATGCTCTGCTTCTCAATTGATCATGTAAAAATGACATAAATTTCCTTGTAACTTTCGATTGATCCAATAAAATTTGACATAAACGGTGACCAAATTGAACATGTCTCAGATGACACCGACATAAATATGACCTCCTAACTTTATTTCTATTTATTTTTGTCCCTATTTATGGTTATATGCGTTTATTTCTTTTTTATTTTATTTTAATTTTGTGCCCTTTTGTTTTATTTATATTCCAGTCTCTATTTTTAAGCAATTTATATATTAGTACCTTTATTTTATGCAATTTTAATTTAAGCATTAATTTTATGCATTTATATTTCTACCTAGGGATGGGCATGAGACTCGAACCCGATGGGTTCCTATCCGACCCGATCGAGTCGGATTTTTTATAAAAAAATGGGGTTCGGGTTGGGACGGATTTTTTTAATGTTCGGTTCGGTTCGGGTTTGAGTTTAGGGTGAAAAAACACGACCCTACTCGACCCGAAAAAATATATAATTTTACCTTATATATTTAGGAATAATTACAATAATACCCCTCTATATATTATTTTTTTCAATTAAGTCAATGTTTTTATTGAATAAAAATATTTTTTATTATTTTCGGTCAGGTCGGGTTGGGTTTTTAAGTTATATATCGGGTCGGGGTCGGGTCTGGTAAAAACTTGTTTTGATCAGGTCGGATTGGGTCTCGGGTGGAGGACTCCTTGTTCTAGGGTCAGGTCGGGTTTTTAAGTTATATTATTGAATAAAAATATTTTTTTATTATTTCTCGGGTGGAGGACTCCTTGTTCTACCCTTTACTTTTATGTATTTATATTTCTATCCTTTTGTTTTTTGTTATTTATTTTTTGGTACTTTAATTTTTAGCCTTTAATTTTATATCTTTATTTATTATTACATATATTCTAGCACTTAAATTTCTATATTTTATTATTCTAGTTTTTTTTTTATTTTGGCAATTATACCACAATATTTATATTTCAAGTATTTATTCTCTGTTTGAGTTTTGTTAAATTCCTCTATTTTAGTCCTTGATAGATCACTTGTTTTGTTAGATTTAGTCCTTAAATTTAGACTCCTTTAAATTTGGCCCCAAAACTTTTAATTTAGGAGAATTCTTAATTTGGTTCTCGTTTTTGCTCGAGGTTCTGAATTAATTATTTGATTTGCATAATCGATTAAAATTAATTTAAATTAATATTAGAGCCTCCTTTTTTAGGTTTGATCCTTAGGTTCTTTAAATTTTAAATATGCATACTTAGTGGATTTTAAATTAAATACGATTTCGAACTCAAAATTTCCAATTTTTAAAATACATGGTAATTGACTAGGTACCAATTTGGGCGTTGTGGGAGTGTTAACCATTCCCCACGCTTAACTAAATCCTGAACCCGACTTCTGGTTTCGCAGACCAAAACTTGGTATTTTTTTAGTAACATAAAATTGTTTAATTAAATTACATGATTGTTCCAATCTCATCTTAAAAATGATTAGTGGCGACTCCTATTCTTTTCATTGAAAACCATTTATTTATTTTCCATAAAAAATCGTATCAATAAAAATCGGTTACAACAGCTTGACGACTCCACTAGGGATGCTTTTGTTTTCTAAAACAAAAAGAGAGTTAAGCTATGAACTGATTACCTTATATTTTAAAAGCATGAAATTTTGAGTTTAAGTTTATCCAATTTACAATTCTTTATGTCTTTTCGAAAAATAAAATACTTACTCTCTGGTTAATTCTTTCATTTGTTCGAATATATATATAGGACCATTGCATAACATAAGCTCTATACATGAGCTCTTCCCTTTTAAGTGAGAGTGAAAGCGACGTCTTCGTGAGAATTTATTCTCCATGTCAGACATAGCAAGTAACTTCCGGGGTTTATATGCCCTATGTCTTCGTGATGATATATTCTCCGTGTCAGCCATAGGGAAATGTGTCATCTTGAATTGAACTCGATTCGTTTAAGTTGATCATTATAAAGAATGAAGTAAGCCCACATCTCTAGAGCCATGTGGATACCCTAAGAGAACTAGAATGCATGTAGTTAAGGTTCTAATTTTATCTGTATGCTTTATTCATTATATTCATGGTTTATTTACCGATTGAATTTAATCATTTCTGATTTTTTTAATGCACATTTCTTTTACTTGATCATTATTTCAATAACTTGATTTCCTTCTGTCTTGTTATGTGCTTTGTTGTGTTTTATTTTTTTGCATGAATATGACATATCATCAAAGATATTTATCCCCAAAATAGTTGTTGGCATTAGAAGGAACTTAAAACGACAATGTCTTCCGATGGGTTAGATAGAATTTCAGAGATTGATCGGTGGTCAGAATAGAAACAACTTCAATCAAGAGACAGTCTATATGCTAAAGAAACGATCCGAGCTCAACATGGTTATGTAACACCCCAATTTAGGGGCTAAAGTTTAGAAATTATAAAGTATTGAATTTAAAGTGGTATTTTGGAAGAAATTAGGGATTAAAGTGTAAAATCGCAAAGTTAGCATACCATTTTATAAAGTACATGAAATTCAGTAACTAAACTCATAATTTACCCATTTTTCTTTTGGAGAGAATTATAAATCTCTCCCCCTATGTTTCTGCAGATTTTTTCCTCATTTTCCTCTTATCGATAAACTACTTTGCGCTCCAATCTATTCACCATCCGGCTATCGTTTGACGATCCGAAACCATCATTGTGTTCGTTGTCGACCGAAGAACAAAACCCTTTAAAGAACTTGTCGTGCATCGGCGTCATTTGTCGTAAATTTCAATCGGAAGTATCGTCATTTTTAACTCAATCTCCGTTGGATTTCCCTCGATTCACATCGATCCGGTCACCCGTTTTTGACACCTCCCACACCATCGTGTTCCTTGTATCGTTTCGAGTCCACCGGTGTCTGTCACGTCTCTGTCATCGCCGGCACGTGAAGGGGTGAGAAAGTCAAAGTCTTTGACGTTTCGGAATCGAGCTCTCTACCATTCAAAATTTTGACCCGAGCTTGGTAAGTGTCTTAAAATCGCTTAAAATATTTTTAGAAAATTTTTGGAAATTTTTCAGACACCGTATCATTGTTCATGCGCCGCCCCTGCGCGTGGGGGAGCTTCCGAAACTGTTGGGGCAGTTTGACCCGACCCGTTGACCGTTGACTTTGACCAAAAAGTCAAATTTTTTGAAAAGTTATATTTTTAGTTTGTAGACGTCCTGAGTTCGATTCCGAAGTCTGTTTTTCAAAATTCAAACCCGAAAGCCTCAAAATCGTCAGACAAACCTGTTGACTTTGACCAAAAAGTCAAAATTTTCGAAAATACGTATTTTATATTTTTCGACGTCCTGAATCTGAATCCGAAGTCTGTTTCATCAAATTCAAACCTAGTAAGCTATTTTTGACTGATTAATCACCTGATTTGATCCGTTTTTCGCAATTAAACTCCGTTTTTAATGAAATTTCTGTTGATGTGTATCCAAGGAATTATTGGAAGTTGATTTCAAGATCGAGGACGTTCGAGTGGAGTTTAAATGGTCTATCAGTATGGCACAAAAATCGAGGTAATACATTACTACCTCTTTATGCTTTTTTAAACATGTTGACAATGGATAAATGCATGAATGTGTATGATTGGTCTATTATGCGTGTTTGATTATGGATGGATTCCAACCGAATACGGTTTAAGTGATAAATTAGTTAAGACTCTATTGAATTACAAGTTTTGTGATTGAGTGATAAAGCAATCAGTCCTGAATATGTAAATTATAATTTATCTTATTAAAGGTACTTGGATGATAAATTATATGAATACTTCGATTAGGTAAAATTACGAAAGTACCCTTATGTTGTAAAAAGACAAGAATTGATCCTAGAAGTTGGATAAGAAGTTTGTAAAGACATATTGATCTGATGAAACTACTGATGTGTATAGAAAATACTAGTTTTTGCTTAGGAAATCTGGTTAACTGATTTCTAAACCCCAGCTGGCTTTTATAAGATATTAGAAGTTTAATAAGGAATAATTTAAAGTTTAGAGATTATCTGGGAAATCGATTAACCCTAGAATCTCTAAATTATAATTATCATGGTTAAGAGTTTTAATACGAAATTATATGGTTAAGAAATTACTAGATTACCCTTGAGAGGAAAAAATAACCCAAATTGACCCTCAATGGAAAAGTACTCAAGAAGTCATGCCTAAATCGATGAATTACTAGTTTCATCGTTAAGTTCACACATTTGTACATAAAATTCCTGATAATCCGTAAATCTCCAAGTTATAAGTAAATATATGAGGAATAATTTATTGAGGATGCTCTTTTGACAGAATTATTCGAAAGGACTGAAGTAAATGATAAATTTGAATTAAATAATATGATCGGAAAAAAAGAAAATGATTGAAATACCCTAGATCTGTAAAATGACCAAATTACCCCTATAATAGAAATGACCCAAGAATATTACTAAGCCTAGAAATGAATGGATATCCTCAAGCTCTGAAATGACTGGAATAACATTGAGTACCAAAATGACCACCAAAATACCCTTGTGGCCTAGACTAAGTAAATGTCTTCGATTAATTAAGGAATCTAAATAAACATGGGTGTTGTACTACCCTTAAAAGTTATGGAACTTAGCTTAAGTGAGTTGACCAACATTAATACTATGGCAGTACCTGAATAGCATAGATACCACTCGAATCCTTGTTCGTCTCCTCAAGTTTGGATCGATGATAATTCTAGAAGTACTCAGTTCAGCTCAACTCTAGATCACATTTGGTACTAAGAAGTGGATATTTGTTAGACAAATCAACTACGAGTACCAAATTGAACTAAACAGAAGTATAATATGTATCGAAATTCAGAAACGTCCGAATTACTCTGGAAAACTGTGAAGTAACCGAGATAGACTTGACTACTAAGTGAACTAAGTAAGCTCAATGACTGAGGATTAAATAAGTGATTTGGATGAGTCTGTGAATGCTAATGAACTTACATGATGTATTGTCCTTCTGGGTCATTAACTACAAATCAAACACATCAGCATTTCATGATATTGTGGAAGCGTGGAAATGAAATAAGGACTATTGGAGGATATATTCAGCGATGATTCTGAAGATG